GTTTCTTCTTGTAGCCACTTCCTGGATCTCTCTTCAGCGGCTCGTATGTGGTCGTGTCGCTAAGGAGTGTCATGATCTTGTCTTCAAGGGTTAATATGTCTGTGTTAGTGTCCTGACATCTAACCTCATCTGACATCAGGGTGGCGATGGCTCTGCCGATCTCATGGTAAGACCTGGCCTGGCCTTTGGGTCCCAGCAAAATGAATAAAAACCTGCAGGAGAGGCAAAATCACTGTGTCAATCAAGCTGACAAGCGACAGATGTGCAGCTGCTTCTGTTGACTGGAGCGATCCTTCAGAAAGCTTCAGAAATGAAGCAGATTCTTCTAAATACAAGCTGCTTTTATTTCTGAAGTCTCAGTGAGGAGCTGGAAGAAAAACTGAAGGAAGAACTGAAGTGTCACCAACAGCTAGCCTTAAAGCTTCAGTCTATCCGTCTCAGCACTTTGTTTTCTGGCTTAAACTGGATGAAAGAGAAAGTTGTGTCATTTTAACTTGCTGTCACATGTTTGCATGTGTTGATGTTTGTAAACAGTCACCTGGTGGGAACTGGGACTTCTGTGAGCGCGCCCAACATCACGGCTTGCTGCAGACGAACAAACGCCACGAACGGGGCRTCCAGGAAGTCCACCTCCCCCACCAGCACATTGGAGGCCTCCGCGTCTCTCGGCAACTTCTTCATGAACTTGTTTTTCAGCTAAAAGTACAACAGGAAGGAAAAACAGGAGCTGCTAAATGTTAGGCTCCCAGCAGCAGGCTGTCTGAAAAACTACAGCTTTTATTAAACACAACCATCAAATCCCAAACCTGAAGCTTCCTTTGCATCTGCACAAGGACCAGGACAGAACCAGGACATGTCAAAACTCAAACATTAAAATCTTTGTTTCCTACTAAAGCAACACTTTGAATTTGTTCAAGGAAATCAATAACTTTAGAGTTTAGAACAATCTAAATGTGAATCAGAAGAAGACACAATGTCGGAGGTGTGCAGCCCAGCTGAGGGGGGTCATCAGGTGAGAAGGGGTTATCTGCGGAATCAAAGTAGGCGTGTCATAAGAGTGGGCGTGTCTAAAGCATAAACACTGTGGGCTACGAGGTCTACATGTCGGTATCCTTAGACCCTGTTTGACCTCTTTACAGCCTGACCCTGACCCCAACACTAAGGTTAACCAGGAGAAATGTGACCCAAGTAGGGGTCTCAAGAAAAAGTTGTGCCGTACAGTAACGCCCCTTTTGTTCTTGTCCAATCAGGTGGTGCCGTACGGTGACGCCCCTTTTTTTGCTTGTCCAATCAGGTGTGTCCCTTTAACAAAGTCCGTCTAATCAGGTGTGTGGCTTTAGACTCGCCTTTCGTTGGGGTCACGCCCACTCGTCCACAGAGACCCATACATGGATCAGGCTAAAGCAGGAGTCCTGTCAGCTCTTGTTCTGCTCGGAGTCCAGACACAGCTGAGCTAACTGGTCCACAGTCCAGTCTGCCTTCAGTCCAGTCTGTCCAAAGTCTAGTCTGCCTACAGTCCAGTCTCCCCACAGTCCAGTCTGTCTAAAGTCCAGTCTGTACACAGTCCAGTCTGCCTACAGTCCAGTCTGTCCACAGTCCAGTCTGCCCACAGTCCAGTCTCCCTACAGTCCAGTCTGCCTACAGTCCAGTCTGTCAACTGTCCAGTCTGCCCACAATCCAGTCTGCCCACAGTCCAGTCTGCCCACAGTCCAGCCTGCCCACAATCCAGTCTGCCTACAGTCCAGTCTGTCCACAGTCCAGTCTGCCCACAGTCCAGTCTGTCCACAGTCCAGTCTCCCTACAGTCCAGTCTGTAGGGAGACTGGACTGTAGGGAGACTGGACTGTAGGCAGACTGGACTGTGGGCAGACTGGACTGCCTACAGTCCAGTCTGCCCACAGTCCAGTCTATCCTCAGTCCAGTCTGCCCACAGTCCAGTCTCACCACAGTCCAGTCTGCCTACAGTCCAGTCTCCCCACAGTCCAGTCTCCCTACAGTCCAGTCTGTCCACAGTCCAGTCTCCGTACAGTCCAGTCTGCCCACAGTCTAGTCTGCCCACAGTCCAGTCTGCCTACAGTCCAGTCTGCCTACAGTCCAGTCTGTCCACAGTCCAGTCTGTCCTCAGTCCAGTCTGCCCACAGTCCAGTCGGCCTACAGTCCAGTCTCTCTACAATCCAGTCTGCCCACAGTCCAGTCTGCCTATAGTCCAGTCTATCCACAGTCCAGTCTGTCACAGTCCAGTCTGCCCACAGTCCAGTCTGTCCACATTCCAGTCTGTCCACAGTCCAGTCTGCCTACAGTCCAGTCTGCCTACAGTCCAGTCTGTAACAGTCCAGTCTGTCCACAGTCCAGTCTGCCTACAGTCCAGTCTGCCTACAGTCCAGTCTGCCCACAGTCCAGTCTGGCTACAGTCCAGTCTGTCCACAGTCCAGTCTGCCTTCAGTCCAGTCTGCCTACAGTCCAGTCTGCCTTCAGTCCAGTCTGTCCACAGTCCAGTCTGTAACAGTCCAGTCTGTCCACAGTCCAGTCTGCCTACAGTCCAGTCTGTCCACAGTCCAGTCTGTCCACAGTCCAGTCTGTCCACAGTCCAGTCTGTAACAGTCCAGTCTGCCTACAGTCCAGTCTGCCTACAGTCCAGTCTGTAACAGTCCAGTCTGTCCACAGTCCAGTCTGTCCACAGTCCAGTCTGTAACAGTCCAGTCTGCCACAGTCCAGTCTGTCCACAGTCCAGTCTGTCCACAGTCCAGTCTACCTACAGTCCAGTCTGCCTACAGTCTAGTCTGCCTACAGTCCAGTCTGTCCACAGTCCAGTCTGTAACAGTCCAGTCTGTCCACAGTCCAGTCTGTAACAGTCCAGTCTGTAACAGTCCAGTCTGTCCACAGTCCAGTCTGTAACAGTCCAGTCTGTAACAGTCCAGTCTGTCCACAGTCCAGTCTGCCTACAGTCCAGTCTGCCTACAGTCCAGTCTGCCTACAGTCCAGTCTGCCTACAGTCCAGTCTGCCTACAGTCCAGTCTGTAAC